TTTATTCAACGCTTTTATTTTGTGTTTTCTTCCTTCATCTCTCATACATTTCCTTCTAATTTTCAAGTGTGGATACTCTATTCTCCCAGAACCGGTATGGGTAGTTGCGTGAGACTCTGTATCATTCATAAAAAACACTCATATTTCGTCTATCCACTTTGGTTTCTAGAGTGCTCTTATTATTTTTCAATTGTCCTGCCAAAACGCTTCTCTCTCTATTTCTTCTTCTTTTAGTAGACACCATTCGCATTGACCGCAATCACAAGAGAAATCGTAAAAGTCAGACATTATAATACTGACCAAGAGTTTATAGCGACAAGGTCTACCCGAACACTTTGACAGCTTGTCAATCCCTATGTCTTACGATCGTACATCTCTTACAGTTTTTAAACGTAAAAGTCATATGTCCTGAATAACCTGTACCACATGCGTGTGAAAACCTTTTGGGACTCTTATAAATACAACTTCTGCTCACAGTCTTAGTCGGTTAGATTAGTATGTCTAAACCGCGATACCCAAACGCGTAATATAGGGTCCATTCTCTTTTCCCGGTGTTGTGTGACAATAAATATTACGTATGCGAAAACAGTGTGTTGGAGTTAATCCCTCTACCATCTTAGATTCTTTTTGTACTTTTTGTACTGTTATTTTTTAAAATGAGATGCGAAAAAACCCTACACACGAACCTACGTAAAATCTAACCCTAGCCTTCCCAACAACCCTTACCCCAACAACCCTAAACCCCAACAACCCTACACCCCTCGTGCACCTACGCCGCATGAATAAACCCTAAAACCCCCTTCGGCACCTACGCCGTATGAATATTTAATTAGAACCCACTTGGCCGAATCACTCGGTCCTAGAACGCGCGGAAGTTGCCGTAAACCTATGATTCCAACGTGGGAGAACAATCTACTTTCCATCAATTGTACAGAGACATGATGACAGTTTGTCAATCAGAGCGACATTTACGTTCAAACACATTTATGTATAACATCCTCTTACATTCAACAAACACTTCATACACCATGTCATCTGAAAAACAACTGTTTCGACGAATATATTGAACAGAATCCCCAGTGGGCCGGAACCGTCCTAGACGAATTATTTGCCATTGTAAAACAAAAAGCTACCACGGAAGATCTTTGTGAAATACGTAGACAAGTGACAAGATACATTGACGAGATTGAAACCTATGATTCACAAGTGGGAGAACATTCTACATCTCATCAATTATACAAAGACATGATGACAGCTTTTCTAGCTTATGTTACCTATTTACAAATATCGTGCAGAGTGAATAAATAAACCATAGTTATCCCTCCTTCATCTTGGAATCTTTTGTGTTTGAAAAACCGTTATGATGTTTTTATTCACCCTACTCACTAAATTTAACCCTAAAAACCCTCGTACACCTACGCGACATTCAAACCCTAACCCTCTTTATTCACCTACGTAATATTTAACCCTTATAACACCCTCGTACACCTATGCAACTTGAATGTATTACTTCATGAATATATGAATACGAAATGTGCCATACAGGTCCCGTATACTACTGTTAAGGTTTCCAATCGTACGTCCATGCACGCTTGCCCTCGTCTTCGCCAGGTGCTTTGAAAGGCGGCCCCAGTCCCTGTCGATTTTCTTAAAGGTTCTAAGACAAAGATTGTTGGAGCGTACGTTCAACCTTAGGCAGCCAGCAAGTTCAGTTGTCCGGGCTTGAACTTATTAGGTTTGAATATTCGCTTGAATGTTAGGTTTTAATTGAAAGGTCAAACTGATACAACTTAGACAAATTTTGGTGTTTCTTTTTCTAACGGATCGTGTCACTTTCACAGTGGCTATTAATATAATCTTTTCTTTGCGGTGAGGACATAATTTCAGTTTCTTGTTTTTGGTTTCATACATCATGATATCAATAAACTAAAAACGGCTTATGCATATCGCCAAAGATATCAAGTGTCCTTGCAAGATAGTCCTGTAACGGTAAAGGTTACTTTGTCTTCATTTCCTAGTGATGTGATCTGATTTGTTCCCTTAAAGTTGCGGATGAGTTTGGCGGTAAGCGAGATTTAAGAATTATGATATATCTTGCAAAGCCAGTTCTATCTACTTTCTATCCATATACATTAATATTCTATTTAATTTCTGATTATTTGTGTGTGAAGTGCAGTATTTAGGTGAGTCCGTAGAGCGAATGAGACCACGAAGGGTCGGTCATTTAAACAAAGTTTAGTCTAACAACAAACATATGAAATATATATATATATATGAACTGCGGTTATGAAACGTATATGTGCACGATCCTTCGCAGTAAAGCACTATTTAAGCAATAGTGAAAATCAGACCTGAAAAAAATTCAGGCCTGTACGGGATTCGAACCACTGACCTCTGCGATACTAGTGCAGCGCTCTACCAATTGAGCTAACAAGCCAACTGGGAGCAGGCCATCAAATTAATTCGACATAAACCCGTAGATGATAAATCAAACAACAAACATATGAAATACATATATATGAACTGCGGTTATGAAACGTATATGTGCACGATCCTTCGCAGTAAAGCACTATTTAAGCAATAGTGAAAGTCAGACCTGAAAAAAATTCAGGCCTGTACAGGATTCGAACCACTGACCTCTGCGATACTAGTGATACTAGTGAACCACTGACCTCTGATTTTCACTATTGCTTAAATAGTGCTTTACTGCGAAGGATCGTGCACATATACGTTTCATAACCGCAGTTCATATATATGTATTTCATATGTTTGTTGTTTGATTTATCATCTACGGGTTTATGTCGAATTAATTTGATGGCCTGCTCCCAGTTGGCTTGTTAGCTCAATTGGTAGAGCGCTGCACTAGTATCGCAGAGGTCAGTGGTTCGAATCCCGTACAGGCCTGAATTTTTTTCAGGTCTGATTTTCACTATTGCTTAAATAGTGCTTTACTGCGAAGGATCGTGCACATATACGTAAAGTTTAGTCTTTGTCTAACAAAACCGACTGCTAAACAATCCTCGATGTAGCTGGACCATAAGCTTTTATGTGAACATTTATTTCCAGTGACAGGACATTTATCTAATTAAATCAACCCTGAGGCCCACTGATTGTGTCAAACTGTTTTTTGGTTTAGACCCTCGTAAAAATAAGCGACCCGAAGTTGTAAACAAAAATTGATAAATTAATAAACAACAAAATTAATAGACAAAATTAATGAACGATTAATACGAAATGAGATTAGAGAAACATATCAAAAGCAGGGTGACATTTTGATGTAACACCAAATTCCCTTAACTCTTCTAGAAAGAAATGTATGGCAGTTGGAAGGGAGAATATGAATGAGATTTGATTCTCGGCTAACAAAGAGATTATATTCTTATATTCAGATATAAGTCTTAATGATTCTCGCGCTATAGATAAGCAAACATCGCCTAAGCACACGCGAGTGTATTTGACAAATAAAAATCCGGGCGGGTGTGAGAAAGATCAGTTCAGAAAATGCAAAGACTTAGAGCAACCAAACTTTGTATCGTGTTCTATACGAAAAGCTTCAATTTTCTTCTGTTAAAAAACTCACAACAAAAGATGTTTCAAAACTATAACATGAAAGTTAAGTTTATTTCGGATGATGCAATTCAGTAACCGTGATTTTAAATACTTGTTGGAAAAAGAGCTAATTCTCATCTTGTTCGCAGAGTTACACGATGCTAATCCAGGTAATCATATAATTGTATTTTCAATATAAAATACTGCCCCAGTCGATCACGAGATGTAAGGAACAGAGCAGAGAAGCGCCAGTTGGTTTATTTACAGCGGTTAGCACATTTTTCGGAACGCGATGATTCATAATTTTTCGCTTTGATCTTGATTTCGAAAGATAGTTAGATTTACTGTAATTTCTCCTGAGACTTGTATCTAATCTTTTCTGCCTCTATTTTTTATTCCCTTGTTTACGGCGGTTTGCACAAGTTTTGGAATGTTATGAATCCTAATTTTCGCTGCGATCTTGAATTCGAAAGGTAGTTAGATTTCCTGTAATCTTTTCCGCGACTGCTATTCTGTCTTCCACTTGTTCCTCTTCTATTTGTTATTGAACCTATCTGTTAAATGTTTGGCTAGTTCCAAGTGCCAAGAATCTTTCTGCAAAATTATCTGCAGTTGCAGATATCACGTCAAGCTGTAAAAGAGGAAACTCGTGTATTTTAAGACCAATGGATGCCCTATATTTTTGCTGATATTTCAAAAGCAGAGGATGACTTCAAAGAAATATTGACAGCGAACGAACGTACGACTGGTATGACTTTAAAAAAAAAAACACAAGACTCAAACGTAAGAATAACTCTTTTCTCAATAAATCTAGTAAACCTACCTTTTATGCGCTTTAACTTCTCAGCTCTGCTATTACATAACGGGCCTCATCTTTAGACACGACCTTTACATGTCAGTTCATGTTTTGCATATCGGTTAATTGTATTTTATTTCCCTCTATATTAAAAGCTTCCATATAGAAGAATAGTAAAGAACTATCCGATCAGCAAGGATGTCAAATTTACCGATAATTTATGTAGTGATATCAAGCCCTGACAATAAAAGGCCGGGGACGATCTTGACTTAGCACCTTCCTTTTAGGGCTTTTGAAGTTTTCCGTAAATAGACATATTTGTTGAAATAGGGGCAAATTTTCATCGATTCAAACGTTGCTATTTTAATATTCTCAAAAAAGAACTCTTGTGTAATATTCTTTGTAAAGTAAAACACTTTGCATGATGATAATGATAAAAAAAGAAAACGTTTCGGTAATTGTATCCATTATGATTGGTCCATACTTCTATAAAACCAATACGCAGACGTCTAATTCCATGCATCAAAGCGTCCAACAAAACGATTAAAATTGTTTTGTTTAAATGAAACTAAATTAACTTTGATGCAAACTGTAGATGGGGCTAAAAGGTTTTCTTAAACCTCTATATAAAGACAATTCTCCTACATAGGACAATTGGAAATTTTCTTCGCTTTCATCAAGAAGACATTTGAGAAGTACCGGACAGCCGTATAGAAGATATTCAATGGACACTTGGTTTTGGGTTTTTGCCTGGTTCCTTTCGATCCTCGCGATGGCTGGAAATGGATTTGTCATCTTCCTCGTCTGCGGTAAACGTCAGCTTCGCACCAAGACCAACATGTTTATTGTGTCCTTGGCAGTAGCCGATTTTTCTGTTGGGATGATCGCTGTTCCTTCACGTTTTTTCTGCGACCTTGTAACCGAATGTACCGAGGGCTTTAAAGCAGGATTACCTGTGATGTATATGCGAGTGTTCATAGTTTTCGCATCTGGAACAAACTTGACTAGTTTAGTGTTAGAACGCTATATCGCTGTCGTGCAACCTTTGAAATACTTGACTTTAATGAAGCGTAACCGAGTCACTCAAATGGTTGTTACATCATGGGGAATTCCTTTTCTTTTCACCCTGACTTTAGTGTCGATAGAATTGAATTTAGACTATAGTGTCAATGGCTATTTGTGTCTGCTTTTCGAGTTAATCTTATGTCTAGTTTTAATCATTTGCCTCGTATCCATGTTTCTTGTTGTTTATAAGCAGAAATCTAGAGATCGTGTTTTAGTTAAGCAGTTGCAGTTTAATCAATGGGTCGCTAAAGTTAAAACTCAAAACAGTTTAGCATTAAAATGGATGGCATTGGTAACGGGTGTGTTTCTTCTGTCTTACGGAATATTCATGCGGTGTAGTTTATTAGTTGTAATGGGTCATCAATTCTGTAACGATTTTCAGTACAAAGTACCTTTGCAAGTTATTAACTCTGGAATAAACCCAATAGTGTACGCTTTCTTCAAGAGGGACATAAAGCAGGAATGTAAAAGGCTTCTTTTCAAAGGCGTCCTTGACTTACCATAGAGCCTTTCCAAGGCAGGAGAAATATTAGTTGATGCAGGATACTTTTTTTGAAAATACTGCCTGTAGATCCTTAGGACTTCCGATTCTGGATCCATCATTCCATCATGTTTAAATTCTCATCTTAATCGCTATTTGGTTGAAAAGCCTCAGTTTAATGGAAAAAGGACAACTAAACGGTATAAGGAATATCGTATCGATATGACATTTATTTCAAAGATTTAAAACCACACATTGAATATATCGAGGTTTAACTTTGCAAAAAAGCTTTACTTAGGAGCAGTTTTAACAAAAACATTGAAACTGTCGCCTCAGAAACATCTGGCTTTTAAAACTATGAGCTTGCCTCGCATTATTTAATGAAAGTGTAAAAAGATAGATATCCCTTCTTAATTGATATGCCTCAATAACTGATTGCCTACTACATGTGTTCAACGTCTCAGATCATAATTTTCTAACTGATAAATTACGTGAGGCAGAACTGTGAAACGGTGAATGGTCGAGAATAAAAGCAGAATTTTCTGAATGCAACAGTTGATTATATGCGTGTTAGTTGCTCCATGAGCTGTCATTGAGGGGTAGACTACAAATGACTGATATGTCTGTAAATTCCTAAATTAAACTCCTTGATGTCAACAAGTTATCTCTTTTCTTTCGAAGATTTACATTTCATAGTGTAGGAGATCACGATATAACATCGTCGAGCCTTTTTCATTCCACGAAAAAAAATCAGAGTCATCACTACATAAGCGACTAAGTCTTAGAAACTGAGAGAAGGGAATGGAATTCTTCACATGAGATGGATGCAAAGATGAATACAACAAGTAACTATGTGAACCTGTAGCTTTGTAATACCCACTAGTACATAAACCGTTGCCTTCAATTGAAACTTTGATGTCTAAAAAGGATAAAGAATTGTCGGAAATTTCCCAGGTATATTTGAGAGCCGGGTGAAAGGAATTGACTGCGGTTATGGATTGAATTAGTTCCTCTCTAGTAGAAGAGGTAGCACCAATACAGTCGTCAATGTAGCGACCGTACAGTTCAGGTTTGGGGCCGTTGTATCGGCTTTAAAAATTGGTGTTCGGTAAAACCTACAAAAGATTGGCATAGCTGGGTCCTATTTTGGTACCCATGGCTACGCCATTGGTTTGTTTGAAAAAATTGTCCCCGAATTAACGAAAAACAATTGAGTGTGAGCTCAAGTTCAGCTAACGATGTAGTGTTTCAGATTTAGGTTCCTTAACAATGCGTTCATCAAAAAAATGTTTGAGGACCAGAAGACCTTCGCCATTAGGAATGACAGTATAAAGAGATGTAATGTCCATAGTGAAAAGAAGTTTGTCACGGTCTTGGCCAAGGAAATTAATCAAAAAAAATTTTCCAAAAACGTGGTGACTGATTTTTTTCGCAAATCAGAGTCTTTGTGCCAGTTTTTCGAAAAACGTGGTTACGCTGTTTCTGTTGTTCAAGCGGGTCACTACCACGCCCAACTTATTGATCGACAATCAGCACTAAAAACGTCACAGAAGGAAAATTCCGACTGCATTCCATTTACCCTCACATTTCACCCTCACAACCACTCAGTTAAATCCAGTATTCTTAAAAACTTTTCTTCAAAACGATCCAGAGACTGGCACTCTTTTCGCAACCTCCACTCATTTCATTCAAATGCGACAAAATCATAGGCAATTTTTTGGTAAGAAGTTCATTACAAACTAATTACCAACCCGGCACTTTTAAATGCGCTCGCACACGATGCAAAACTTGTTCTTTCATTCACATCACTGAAAAAATATCGGGACCCAAATGATCCATTAAGATCACTGTTCACTTCACGTGCACCTCAGCCAACGTCATCTATTGCACAACTTGCACTTATTGCAAAAAGCTATACATCGGCGAAACAGAAAGACAACTAGGTGACCGATCCCGAGAACACCTTCGCGACGTCGAAAGGAATGACAAGGACGCATCAAAACCAGTAGCTAGACACTTTAACCTACCTAATCATTCTAAGCAACATATGGCAATCTGCGGTCTTTCCTTACATTTAGGTAGCTCGGAAAGCCGCAAAACTCTCGAACAAAAGTTTATCTGTCAAATCGGCACTCTTAATCCCACAGGTATCAACGAACACTTTTCATTCTACTGATTGATTCGTCTTTTTTTCGTCGGCATGCTCCCACCAATAGCGTAGCTTAACTTTCTGCATATAAACCCACACACAACCCGCAATTCCTCCATCCGCTCTGACGAAGGGCAAACGCTCGAAACGTCAGCTTTTTAACTCTTTACGGTGGCCAATTTACAATTTCAACTTAGTTGATATTACCAAATTCCCTTGTTACCCCCACTGACGCAGCACCACAGTTTCTTTTGAAACTTATCCCCTTATTTCAAGGAAATATTTGTCAAAGAGCTGGACCAACAGCGACTTACTTGACAAGCCTGACAGAGGATATAGAGAATAATAAATGGGCTCGCATAGATAGGGAGTTCGTCTTCGATTGTTTTTAAAAATCGATATCTCTTTAACATCGAGTTGATCGCAAGAAGAAAAATTCCATACCTACAACCGTACCATGTATCATCATTATTATTATTAATATTATAATTATGCATTAGACTATGAAACATCTAATTGGTCGAGAGCACTCATTCATACAGAGGCATACAACATCTGCAGCAGATATTGGGTTATCGTGTCGTTTTCAAAGTCTACCTAGTTTCCAAGTCCCCCGTCCGTGAAGTGTTGTCGAACTTTTGAAGAAATGGCTAAACGCTTCGCCTCTGTTTCCGAGGAGGAATTGAAGTTTTGGACGGGAACAAAGATTCCAAAAACACAAAGAGAACAACAAAAACAAGCGTAAAAATTCTGAATGACAATTTGAGGGAGAAGAACCCGAAGGAAGCACGAGATAAAAACGCTTTGGCCAGCGTTTTGAAGAAATGTTCCGTCGGCGATAGAAAAAGTGATGGTAGCCCGTGCTCGAAAGCTTTATGACTTTAGACTCAACAGGCATTTCAGGGCAATAATTCCCCGTTGCGAACGAAGTATTTCTAGCCAAAACAAACTTCTTTTCACCATGGATATTACGTCTCTTTACACTGTCATTCCTAATGGCGAAGGTCTTCTGGCCCTTAAACATTTTTTTGATCAACGTACTGTCAAGGAACCTAAATCTGAAATACTACTACGCTTAGCCGCACTAGTGCTCACACTCAATTGTTTTTCATTCTGGGACAACTTCTTCAGTCAAACAAATCAATGGTGTAGCCATAGGTACCAAAATGGGACCTAGCTATGCCAATCTTTTTGTAGGTTTTTTCGAACACCAATTTTTCAGCCAATACAACGGCTTCAAACCTGAACTCTACGGTCGCTACATCGACGACGGTATCGGCGCTACCTCCTCTGCCAGAGAGGAGCTCACTCAATTCATAACCGTGGTCAATTCTTTTCACCCGGCTCAGAAATATACCTGGGAAATTTCTGACAATTCTTTATCCTTTTTAGACATCAAAGTTTCAATTGAAGGCGACGGTTTATGCACTAGTGTGTATTACAAACATACAGACTCGCATAATTACTTGTTGTATTCGTCTTCGCATTCATCTCACGTTAAGAATTCCATTCCTTTTTCTCAGTTTCTAATACTTCGGCGTTTATGTAGTGATGACTCTGATTTCCACCACAAATCAGAGTCAATGTGCTAGTTTTTCGATAAACGTGGTTACCCTGTTTCTGTCGTTCAAGCGGGTTACCACCGCGGCCAACTTATTGATCGACATTCAGCACTACAAACGTCACAAAAGGAAGATTCCGACTGCATTCCGTTCACTCTCACGTTTCACCCTCACAACCACTCAGTTAAATCCATCATTCTTAAAAACTTCAAATTACTTCAAAACGATCCACAGACAAGCATTATCTTTTCGCAGCCTCCGCTCATTTCATTCAAACGCGACAAAAACATAGGCAATTTTTTGGTAAGAAGTTCATTACAAACTAATTACCAACCCGGCACTTTTAAATGCCCTCGTGCACGATGCAAAACGTGTCCTTTCATTCGCAACACTGAGAAAATATCGGCACCCAAACGATCCATTAAGGTCACCGATCACTTCACGTGCACCTCCGCCAATGTAATCTATTGCATAACTTGCACTTATTGCAAAAAGATATACATCGGCGAAACAGGCAGAAGACTAGGTGACCGATTCCGAGAACACCTTCGCGACGTGGAAAGGAATGACAGGGCCACGTCGAAACCAGTCGCTAGACATTCCAATTTACCTAATCATTCTAAGCAACATATGGCAATCTGCGGTCTTTCCTTAAACTTAGGTAGCACGGAAAGCCGTAAAACTCTTGAACAAAAGCTCATCTTTCAAACCGGCAGTCTAAATCCCACAGGTATCAACAAACACTTTTCATTCCACTAATTTATTCGTGTTTTTCTCGTTGCCATGTTCCCACCAATAACGTAGCTCCATTTTCTGCCTTTAAAAGCACACACAACCCACAATTCGTCTATTCGCTCCGACGAAGGGCTAACGCTCGAAACGTCAGCTTTTGTAATCGTTACGATGGCCAATTTACCATTTCAACTTTGTTGATATATCCAAATTACCCCCACCGACGCAGCCCCAAACAGTTTCTTTGGAAACTATCAGCCTTTACAATTTCTAGCAAAGTGTGTTGATTTAAACGGCGGAGTTTGGCGATGGTTGAACAAAAATCTGCTATTTCAGAAAACGACCTTCGAAATTTCTACGAGTATGAAGTTTCTAACTTAGGTAACCCCAAAATGAATCAAGAAAAGTGTTCTTCGAAATAATGCTGTACTTTTGCTGCCGTGGTAAGGCGCTGAAACCGAAAAAAGTAGCTCGATACGCGTGCAAGTCAGATAAGTGTCTTCTCTAGCAAATTGTTTGAAAAATGTAAAATAAAGCAACTATTGAATTCGGGTTTCGTATGATATCGTGAATTATCAAAACCTCGTGTCTGTGTTATGTGCCTCAGCCTTCGGCTTCGGCAGATAACTCAGACCTCGATTTTGATATTTCACGCTAGCATGCCCAACCTCATCCAATTATTGCTTATTGTTATTGTTTATTATTATTATTATTATTATTATTATTATTATCATCATCATTATCAGCCATTATTATGGTTGAAAATGCTTTCTATAAAGTTTTGGTCTCAATATATTTCTTGTTCATTTTCGTCTTGGTGTGTATTCGTTATTTTAAGGTAGAAAGCGACTACCTGGTAAAACCAACACAATGGCGCTGCGCGTTTGTGACGTCACGAAATTTTGACCCCTTAGAGCGATTAGGACAAACAAACAGGCTTCTTGAGTAAATGAATATGGGCGATGATGTGCCCATCTCTAGTTCAAACGCCTCTAAAGCTCGTATTTTAAATCAAAACGACGGTGTTCCTGGCTCAAAGTTCGAGCAAGACCAAGAGAACTATACAAACACACAATTGAAGCGTTGGTTAAAGTGTAGAGGCTTGAAATTGAGCGGAAAATGAGCAGACCTCATCGCACGTATTCGTGACTGCGTCAAGTCGGGAAAACATTATGTAGTTGATTCAAGTATAATGATGGGAAATGGCTTCAGGCGACGATACTAAAGGAAAGTAAAGTCGATCGCGTGAAACTTAAGGATCTAACAGATCAATGTAAAAAGGGGGTTGACAGGCCTACACGACTCCCCAGCGCGTGGTTTGAATAGCCTATTGAAAGTTTGGCCCTCACGAGTATGTCTTTGAGCCTCTGGGTAGCCTCTCTTTCGCAAATACGCTTTCAAATTTGCAATTTTCTCTTCGAATATTGTTTGAGAGGAGTTAGTTCTGAGAAGTCTAAGGGCCTCTCCTTTTATTAAGCCTTTCTTAACTCCTTGTGGGTGACAGGAACTATAGTGTGTATACTGAAATGTCTCAATTTGTTTAAAATGAATACGCACATCAAGGATTGCGTCCTTTTCGAATCGTTCGCCTTTATAATTTTAGATGTAGGTGTCCAGGAATGTTGTTTCCTTATCGGAAATTTCAGCCGTAAATTTGATTGTTGGATGACGATTGTTTGCTTTTTCAATGAAACGTTCAATTGTTGCTTTGTTTGTACTCCATAGCAAGAAGATCATCGTCTATGTAACGTTTCCAAACAAGCGGTTTGAAAAGGCTTTCGTCAAGGATTTCAGTGTACAGCACAAATATGAGTATTGTAGTTAACACTATCAACTGAGAAATTCTTTCTAGAACACGCATTTACCCGGCGTTGACAAAGTTCCAAGTCATGCATGCTTCGGCTTTGGGAACGGTATGA